AGTTTTGCTATGGAGCCATCCGATGACTCGGCTTATGGAGCCGTTCACAGTTATCCACAAATAGTGTATTGGCATGTGTTCTATAATAAATACACTTTGGACAAGTGTCAATACATTAAATTATGGATGGCTTCATAAGAAAACCATCCGATGGCTCCATAGATTTTTTATGCCGGTTGTTTTTTCTTGCCCATCATTCTCAAACTTCCAGAATTGGTTGTTAGTTTTCAATGCCTTTGTTCAGTCGTTTTTTCACAGACATACATACACATAGTATTGTTTTAGGTTCATTTATAATTGTATTGTTTTCTTGTTTATTGGTATTGATAGTTTCTTCCCTGAAGTTTTGTCCATTGATTGCGGCTTTGAGATTTGAACTATTGTGTTGATTTTGTGGAAACCAACTCTCCACAAGAGTTTTGTTCGTCTGGGCTCAATTAGGAGATCGTTGTAGTGTCATTATACAGTCAACTGTAAAGTAAATGAAAACACTACGAATTATGCTACTATAATATAGATGCAATTTGAAAACTCAATTAACTTGTTTTATTTATGAATGCCGGTCATCGGAATACTTATGTTCGCAGAAAAAAGCTGAAACTCTTTCTGTGTGGAGACTATATGTCATTTTGGTTCAGTGCTTGTGGAGCATATAAAGATCCCCTCGAGCACTAGTTTGATTTTATTGCAAGGATGGAAGGGAAGTGGAGCCTAGGTAAATCGACTTCAGCCTTATGTAGCTATGGATATGTTTCTATTTATCATAGTCTTTTGTCTGAAGCTAGTGTACATACTTAAATGTGTGTCCCTAGGTTTCAATATGGATGCTTATGTTTTTCTTCATAGTACTGTATCATTTTACCAGATATTTTGCAGCTCTAAGGTAATGAAATAAAACATATCTCATATAATTCTAGTTACACGAATACTTGTCATATTAGCTTGTGGTTGTTGGAGAGATGTCTCCTCAATCTGCCTTCAATCTCAAACTACTCTGACCTATAATATACACAATTGTGTCATGTATGAGTCTCGTAGAATGTAGCTGATAAAAGTATTTAATGGATGAAACCACTGTTTTGTTTCAAAAGCACTCACTGTAACCAGGTAAACATTAATCACATGTTGGGACTTATTATTAGGCTTTATACAATTTCCCTAGCTTTCACTATCTTGTAAAATCATCTTCATAATAGATTGTAGCTATATACTTGTGGGCTAAAACAATTTACTCCATAGTTGATTGCTTGGGAAGTCAAGCTGCAAATCTACGTCATGGTTAGAATTACTAATTTCGTCTAAATGATGTCGCAGCCATTTGGACTTCGTTGGTGAAATGGTTCCTACATTATTTGAGTAAGCACCATTTTTTACCGCAAGTGTCTTTTTTCTTATCAAGTTAAAAATACAAAGTTTAGAGCTTTTTTCTCAAGTTTAATATAGAGTATTTGTTTGTTTATCCTCGTTATTCAATGTTTTTATGCCATAGATAATACAGAAGCTTCGAGCAGTATTGTACCATTGGCTGACATTTCATTTCACATTTGTCCTTGTGTATGTTGTTACTTTGGATGAGATAAACTTGTAGCAAATGATGAACAATTAATTTTTGTAATCTTTGCATTTAACCTGAAAAATGCATCACAAATCCTGATTGTCTGTTAATAATGGCATACTTAGGGAATATCTTGTTAAAATTATTAGGGAAAATATACAAGTATAGAAATAGTTATAGTTATATGCCCATAAGATACTGGTACTTCCTATCCTTTATTAAAGCTAGAGCCTAGATATATTAATCAGTGTTCGCTAATTATTTTTGCTATCCGCAAGTGTATGGCGTAGCTATAGGTAGTGGCGAGCAAGGTCGTAATCCACAGAGATTGTAGTTAAATTAATTAAGTACTAAAATAATAACGATCAAATATTATTTAGACTAACGAATGAGATGATGATTTTAAACTATGAAATTAAACTAAGAACTAATTTACCTAAAACAATAAAAATAAATCAAGATATAAAAGATAGATTCTAGGTTAAGTGTTCCTCGGAATTAATTCATGAAACGTTTATATTCAAACAAACCTTATTTAATTTTACCAATCGTAGAGATAATCGCTAAATTGATTTTAACTTTTCTCTCGAACAAGCAAATCGTAGATATTAATTGTTATCTATCTCCTCTCGGTCTCAAGATGAACAACTAACTCCCATAAGTTCCTAAAATTTTCGTTCTCTCGTAAGATTCTATCAACCTCTCGGTCTGTTTAGTCTCCTACGTTATAAATTTCTCAATTCTAGCAATCAATTATCTCCTCTCAGTCTCAAATTGATCACAAATATGCATTCATAGTGGCCATCTACGCACGCAATAAAAATACGCAAAAGAAATTTATAAACGAAAGATAAACCGGAATGAAATAAATAAAAACTAAATCATAAATCAATCCGAGTACTAACAAATCCTAGAATCCAAAATAAATTAGCCTAGAAACATGCTTTCAAAATAAATATAAAACATTGAGTTCGAAAGAAGAAAAGAAAAAGAAAGAAAAAGCTTATTCGGCTTCGTCGATCCTTTCTTCCCGGGCTTTCTCCCTCGTCTTGCTCGTGTTTCTAGCCTCCAAAGCTCTCCAAAGATCTGAAAATTAGGTTCTAGCCCTCTAAAAACCGTGTCCAAGTGTCTCTTAAATAGATGTGGTCGAGTCCTAGTCGAAATAGGTCGAAAATACCGAAAAAATAGGAAAAACGCGCAAAACGCGTATTGGTCGCGCCCAGGGTCACACGACTCGTGTCACATGCCACACGAGTCGTGTGGGAAAGTCGAGAGCATGTTACGGGACCCGTCGGAACGACACGAGTCGTGTCTCGGTCTCACACGACCCGTGTGAAACTGGGCGCCCAAAACAGCATTTTTGGGGCTGCTCTCGAATCATGGCACGTTCTACGGAGTCTTAGGCTTCTTCCGGTGGTCGTACATGGCATCTAGGTGGTCGGAAGACGTCCAGGTCGCCGGACATGGAGGTTCCCGTCGTCGGACGTCAACATGCGTGCACTTCCTCCGGCGTAGACGGCGACCACCTTCTTCTTCTCGATAACAGAATGGCGACGGCGGTCTGAAAGTGTTCTCCGGTGGCTGGGTAGTGGCGTGGTGACGAGGTGAAAGCTTGGTTGAGCTCTTCAATGGCGGATGTACAAGCTACATGAAGAAGAAGAAGGCATCTTTTTTTTATTTTTGTCTGTGAAATTACCATATTGCCCTTAGTTAAACTATCCTTTGGGCCAACTCAACTTGTAGTTATATTAGTTTCTTCTTGGGCCAGCCCATATCCCAAAATATTTGCAGCCTTATGA